TTTGATTTCTAAAGCTTTAACTTGCTCTGAAATGCTCAGAAGGGAATGGTTTGTTGAAGTCCAGTTGCCCTTTTCTACTCAAAAACATACCCACGCAGGAGGCCCGTGATTACAGCTCATCATAGAGCTAATTGTTCTTGCTGAGTTGTGCCATTTTCCACACCCAGGCAACCCAGGGGACCCCAGATGACAGGAGCTGCTCCAGGCGTGGGCCTGTTTATCTGAATACTCAGTTCTCCCAGGATAGAACAGCTGACCCTTCCGTATGTTTCATAATCTCTCTCTCTTTTCCCTAGTACACAAAAAATCACTTCTGTTTTGTTTTCTCCTCAAATGAGGCTGGAAGCAAAGGTTATTATTACCATGTCATAAAGGATATTAACTAGGCAGCTATGGTAGTTTCTTACTACAGACTTACTACAGGCTAGCATTTTACATACATTTCTTATTGCATTAGCACTCACAAATAATCTCCATTTGACAGACAAGTAAGATGTATCTGTCTTATATCCTAATGCATGAGCATTTGCTGACAAATGTCCATAAGGAATTTGTATTTGCAGCTGTAGAAGATTTCACAGTAATGAAAATTACTGTATTCCTCTTAAAACCCTGAGTTGAATTACAGACATAGGTTGCAGGATCCTTAGCAGAAAGAGGGCAAGATTGTTAAAAGAAAATCAGATTTGGGGTTGTCTGAAAGTACTAAAAACACACAACAGAATGAATTATAGTATCTGTCTTCAAGGCAGAGTCGATATTCACAAAGGATACAGCTCTGGAGTGGTGAAAGAATAGTAGTCATATTTTCCCTTACCTCACGTTTAAAATTTCAATTTGTAGATGTATGTTTTCTGAAGTATATAATACATTTGAGCAGTAATATTCTACTGTGGTAGAATGATGGTATTATTGGATCCAGTTCTGTATATAGAGAGGACTGCCTAATGGGGCATGATCACACCATAATCCTTTTTACTCTATTTCTCCATCCTATCAGGATTAGGAGCATGCACACATAGTGTTTTTTTCCTAAGCCCATGGAGCTGGGACTTGAACCACAGTCAGTCATGTGGGATCTGGCTCCCAAACTACAGTGCACTTAACCACTGCACTGTGGGGCTTGCCTGGGAGATGGTTTCTAATGCATGATTATTCTGTTAATAAGTAGGTGGCATGGTGGTTAAGGTGTGGACTCACATATGGCCGACCGAATTTCAAGTTCCAGACTGGCAGCTTGAAATGCATGTTGAACGTGTGTAATCAAAACCCCAGGAGGAGAATGGAGAAGGGATTGTTGGTGTGGCTATTTCTGCTGGAGGGTGATTTCTCATTTTCCCTCTCACTGTCTTTTTCTGTCTCTCCAGTGAGCACATATACCCTATGGCAAAAGCTTAAAGAAAATAGTGTCTTCTAATTTATTTTTAGTAACTGAGTACATAATTTATCATAGTATATGCTCAAATTCTTTTGAATTATAAGATGTATGATCAATAAAATACTTAAGAGATCATTGGATCAGAGTTACCTCTAGGATTCTTATGAATGTTTAATCATGTGGATGAGTTTCTCCTCAATACTCAGATTTTATCTCAATGTCATCTTCTCAAACAGGGCTTTCTGACTATCCCCTTAAATGTAGGTTCCACCACCCCATTAGAATGCAAGTTCCATAAGACAAAGAACTTCACTTTTTTTTTTTTTTTGGTCTTCTACCATTCTGTATCTGTAGTGTTTAGAAAACTACTTGGCACACTGGAGGTGCAAAAAACTTATTGTTTAATAAATGAGTAAGATGGATTTTTGTGGTTGCATGAGGAATTAGTCCTAATATTTTGTATCTTTTCACTTTGCATACACATATAGGAACCAAGGCACTTTGTCTACCTCATTTTGCCAGTGCTTTTCCTTCTTTGTTCTACTGAAAATATGAACCCAGGTAATCAGAAGTATAGAGATGAACTATATTGACATAACGGCTCTAGGTAATAGTGCAGACTTATAGTCTTCAAGGGAAATTGCTCCTATTGTTTTCAGAGTTTATAAACAAATTATTCATCTTTTATCTAAATCATAATAATTTTGACTGGCATGTATAATTCTTAGACAATACATGGATAAAGGTCATTGGTAAAGGGTCAGGTCAGCAAATAGGAAGATTGAAATGGTGGCACTTTGGTCTATAAAAATAGTACCTGATAGAGATAATGACTTACAAAAGAAAACTCACATTGGTAAAATCAATAATTGGTAAAATTCATTATAGATAAAAACTGGTGATTCAATTTCGGTTGTAAAATGTATGGAGAACGTTGATCTTGAGTAAAATAGTTTCAGTTAAAATAATAGAGGATTATTTATTTACATAAATAGCCAGAGGGCATGTATGCTTGCCAGAAAGAGGTCAGGAGTTGGGGGGGTCAGAGTGTGAAGCACTCCTCAATGGGTTGTGGGTACACTGCATTTCCTTCTCTATTTCTCTGTCCCATCAGAATTTTGGACACGCATACACATCTGACATGTTTTTCAAGCCTCCAGGGCTGGGATTCACTGTGGTCAGCCACATGGGATCCTATTCCCTTAACCACTGGGCTATGAGACTAACCCAAAATGAGATCATATAAATTTCTGGATTTCAGGACCAGCAGATGGCATAATACTTATGTCACTAGACTCCCACATGGCAGATGGCAGTTCGGGTCCCAAACCTAGAGACTTGAAACTTACACTGGGTACATGTGTGTGTATGCCAAAAACCCCAAGAGAAGGGAGGAAAATGGATTATAGCGTGGCCATGGCCCCTGGGTGAGGGGGGTGATTTCTTGCTTTCTGTCTCTCAGTCTCTCTTTGTCTCTCTGGTGAGCACATGTGCCTTATAGCAAAAATCTCTTTAAAAATTTTTTTTGGATTTCAATTTACATTAAACAGATCAAAAAATTAAATCAATGGAGACTTACTTCAGGAAAATTTTAAGTATAAAAATCCAATACTGGATTTTGATTTTTATTAAAAATTAATTTTTTAATTTTAATTTTTATTAAAATATTTACATTAATATATATAAGGTGTAAAAGTTTCACAGGTTCAAACTGTAGTACAGAAAATCCACTGGGTTCAGTGCCTATTTATTCTGGCCTTTTAAGATATTTGGATGAATGAAAATTAGACTTTAAAACTTTGTACTAAATCATCAGCATGTGGATTTGCTTTTTCCTGCTTTAGTCCCCTCCAAAGTAAATGTCATTTGCTAGGGACAAGTCAACCTCCATGAGTGCCATCTGTACACACGATTTATTTACTATGGGAATGACCTTTTGTCATTTGGAATATGATCAGTAGAATAGCATTTGGCTAGCTTATTTGAAAGAACCTGATGTCACCCTGCCACTGAAGAAAGGTCAGAATCCTTGTACACACGAGCTTTTCATTTTCAAGGGAAGAAAGACTCGCTAAACTGTAGAGCTCTAAAAGTCCAATGTCTCCTTTGAGAGATAAGAAAACCAAGAACAAGGAGTGATGGAGTAAGGTTTCAGTTAATTATTCAAGGTCTTAATTGATTGGCAGATCTGGAACTAGAATCAGATGCTTTAAATCTTCCATAATGTTAGACTACACTGTTAATTGCCCTGGGTTCCTTTGTAATAGAAGTTCACACTAGACTATGTGTTCTGACATACCAAGTGTTAATGTTGAAAATACCTTTTTTTTTTTTTTGAGAGGTTTTTGCTATAGGACACATGAGCTCACCAGAAAGAGAGACAGAAAGTGAGAAATCACCCCTGGGGGAATAGCTATGCCTCAATCCCTTCTCCTCCATCCTCTTCTTGGGATCTTGGGCATGCACACACATGTGCCCAGCATGAGTTTAAGCTACCGAATCTGGGACTCGAACCATGGTCAACTACCTGAGAGTCCAGCAACAAAGCCATTATGCCAACTACTGGTCCTGAAAATACCTATGTTTTAACATGGGAAAACTGGGTAGATTTGCTTAATGTCATTGAGGGCATCATAATATACTTAAATAAGGAAACAATACATCCAGTTCTTTGCTCTTTGTGTGTATGTGTATGTCAACTTATTTATTGATCTTAGAAGATCTGATTAGTGTTTATTTCTAGGAGTTCATCCAGTACACCAGGAATAAGATATTTGAGTAAATGGCATAGGTTATTATGAAAAGGCAAATAGCAAAGAAAGCAGTGATTAAAAATAACTAATACACTAAGTACAAATTAGGTAAGGCATGCGAAAGACCTAACATCTGAGAGAGACTGTCCTGGGGTGTGGAAAGGGCCTGGATTTGGGGATTAGACAGGCATGAGTTTCAGTCTGGGTCTATCATCTCTAGCTGTATGACCACATGCAGTCTCTGTACTTGAATTTTTCTAGCTGCAAAACATGTCAATAATATCTGATCCAGAAAGAACTTTAGTAAAGTTGGAGCAAGTCTTAGTTTTAGATTCTTCCTTCCACAGATTTAACCAGAACCAGCAGCCACAGCATTTTGGTCACTATTGCTCAGCCAATTGTCACCTCCTTCTCTGAGTAAATCTACAGTTTCCTTAAAAAATGGAAGCCACTTTCTATTTGTCCTCTTTTAGGAGAAAGAAAGGAAGGGGATGATTAAAAATAAGGATTTTGAGACTGAAGTGGAATAAGCTTTATAAATCATTTAGGGCATTAAGTGTTCATTACATGGTAAATGATGATGCGTCATCTCATATTCATAAACAATGAATCCTCAACAGCTGTCTCCCTATTAATGGCTTTACGACTAAATCTAGATTTCGAGATACCCAGGGTCAAGTCAATCTAAGTTTCTTACTGGACTCCAGCGTCCAGCTATCCTACCCTTTATTTTCTACCCCTGTTTTGTTAGCTGGAGGCAGCAATGGATCAGGGAGCACAGCTGGTTATTTGATAACCAAGGAGAGAAAGGTACAGGCTCTGCTGGGCTGGGGGAAGAGGATAGAAAAGCCTAGAGCCCAAGTACTCACCGCGGCCCACCACCACGCGTGAGGGATGCTGATGAAGTTGGTGCCGGGCACATCGTGTTCCACAGAGTAAACGGCCGCAGCGAAGGTAAGGATGCCCATGGCGATGAAGAGCAGCAGGGAGCCCACCTGCTGATAACACTGGCGCAGTGTGAACCCGAAGGCACGCAGCCCAGTGGAGTGGCGCGCCAGCTTGAGGATACGGAAGATGCGCATGAGACGCATGATACGCAGCACCTGTCCCATTTTGCCCACGCGGTCCACCGTCTCCAGATCGTGCTCGTGGGGTGAGCCCTTTCCGTGAAACATGTCCTCGCCGGTGAAGCACTCGAGTAGCAGCTGCAAGTACAGTGGCAGGATGGCCACCAGGTCCACCAGGTTGAGGGCGCTGCGCACGAAGCGGCGTAGGTCCGGTGTAGACACAAGGCGCAGCAAGTACTCCAGCGTGAAGAAGGCGATGCACAGCATCTCCACATGCTCCAGAATGGACCGAGGGTCTCCACCTCCCGCGCCCTCCTCTGCCTGATGCTGCATCTCCTCCACGGTGTTGAGCGCCAGCGCCACGACGGAAATGAGCACAAAGAGGTTGGAAGCCACCCCGATGGCCTTGGCAGCCACCGAGGAGAAGGGCTTCTCCATGAGGTTCCACAGGCGACGCCGCAGTGGCCCATAGAAGCGCATGTCGCGGAAGAGCTCCTCGGCCTCCTCAGCCTGCGCCTGCGCGCGCAGCTCGCGCTGGATCTTGAGCTGCTCGGTCAGCTCGTCGCGGCGCTCCTCGAAGCAGATGCGGCAGCAGCGCGGCGTGTACTTGAGCCGCACGCCCCAGTAGCCCAGCTCCTCCAGGAATCTGCGCGGGCACAGCTCGTCGCACACCATCAGCACCCCGGACATGTAGAAGTTGTAGACGAGGTGGAAGACCGCGGGGTCGCGATCGAAGAAGTATTCATCCGTCTGCGCCTCGTAGTCATCGCACAGGCCCAGCTGGCGGCTGCGACTGGTGGTGGTGGCCAGGCGACCCAGGCGCGTCTTGGGGTAGCAGGCCAGCTCGCAGTAGTCCAGCCGGTAGCTCTGGCCGCCCACGTTCACATTCAGCGTGGACGATGGTGTTGGAGGGTTGTTGTGACCATTCTGCCGGGTGGCAGTGCTCTCTGGCTGCTGGTCCTCCTCAGCAAGTTCATCCTTCCATTCTTCCTCTTCATCCTCCTCGATGTAGTAGTTATAGCTGAGCTCGTTCCACAGTGGGATGCTGGCCTGGGAGCCAGAACGGCCCCCCACGGAGGAGGTGCTCTTGCGGCGTTGGCTGCCTTCCGCCTGGGGTGTGTTCTCACCCTCCCAAGTATTCCAGGGCTTGTAACTCCAAGACCTCCTCCTCTCACTCTGTTTCAGCATGGCCGCGGGAGGTAGACTTCTTGCTTTTCCTTCCTGGCTGCTGTAGGATCCCAAGTCTGCTCACTGCCGCTAAGAGGATGGATCACTTGCCCTGCACTGTCTCAAACTGGCCAGAACCAGCACGTCTAGGGGCAAGGCATTGGTTTCAGAGCTGCCGGCTCAGGCCCTGGGGCAGGTAGTCCAGCCTAGCCTTTGGGGTCTGAGCATAGTCCCCAGACGGCTATTAACTGCTCTAATCTTGCTGATAGGGAAGAAGCAAGCGTTAAGAGGGATTTAGAGCCTCTTAGCTTGTTCCTCCACTCTGTGACGTAGAGGGTGATTATGTGACCTTAAATCTTCAGATAATCTGAAGAAGGCAGAAATTATTGCTAATAAAAATGTCCGTCAGCCTTGTCCTTCAGAAAGTGCTTGGTGTATGTGTGCTGATACGAAGCCAGCTAAATTAGCTGTAGGATATGGATGGCTCTGTCTTCAAGCTTAGTGACAGAGGTTGCCGGCTCTGCCCTGAATGAACCCACCATCAACAGGATGACAAATAGCAATAGGGCTTAAAGCTGACCTTGTGACAGCTCAGTTTCCCTCTTAGCATAATACTTTGTTTAGATCATATAGAATCTTACATGATTCCTTTTCCATCAGTTCATATGATCACATTTTTTTTCAAATGGATTCTTCTTAGCAGCTCTACTCTGGAGTCCAGCCAGATTTTTAAATCAGTTTCAGCTTTTGTCTCTCCTCCCTGTCTCTTAAAGGGTAAGGCATGTTTCAAGGTAGAAATCTAAGACTGACTGGAAAATGCCTTTAGGTTCCTGTAGCCCTGCTCAACTGTATTTGGCCATATTTAAAGGTGAGCAGACACCCTTTCAAGGATAGGGTCTTGTCATCCTTCAAATGATCACTTTTAAAAAATTGTTTTTTTTTGGGAACCAGCAGTTAGCGTAATGGCTATGTCGCTGGACTCCCACATAGTCGACCGCGGTTCGCGTCCTGGACCCGGTGGCTTAAAACCCACGCCGGGCGTGTGTGCGTGCGTGCCCAAGATCCCGAGAGGAGAATGGAGGAGAAGGGATTGCGGCGTGGCCATCCCCTCTGGGGGGTGATTTCTCGCTTTCTGTCTCTCTGTTTCTCTCTGTCTGTCTGGCGAGCGCATGCGCCCTATAGTGAAAAACCTCTCAAAAAAACAAAAACAAAAACAAAAAAAAAAGAAAATACTTTTAAAAAATTGTTTTTTTTTTTAATGATCGAGGTACTGACAATCTGAAGCTGAAGATACAACCATGATGGAGACACAGCTGAAGCACTAGAGAAGCTTGTGGTTTGCTGGTGATAGAAAGAGTAAAGACAACACAAGAGCAGGTTAAAAAAATACAGAGGAGGTCCAGCCACAATGGCACAGGCAGTAGATGAGCTGCTGCAGTGCTGGAGACCAAGTGGGGAGGCTTCAGTTCCTGCCCCAAAGGTGCCTCAGCATCCCAGCCTACCTATGGGCCAGGGATCCTGGCTGGCTGCAGGTCTTGTGGGAGGATCTTGGCATAAATCCTGTACAGGGTACATGCCTCTCCTCTTTCAGAAACTAAGCACTAACAAAGAAATAAGGGGAGCAGGAAGAAGAAGAGTTTTGTTTTGGGTAGAGAATTTTTTTTTATTCAAATTAATTTGACCTAGTCAATATTTGTGATTTTAAAAATTCAGCAGGTGTAAAGGTGCAGGAGGAAGTTTATGTTCCTGACAACTTTAACTTCCAACCATCAGATGTGTCTCCAAGGAATTAACTGGTTACTACTTTTTGGCTGTCTTGCCAGAAATATTCTATACGTGCACAAGCAAAAACCTACCCATCTGTATCTAGCATTTGAAGAGCTCAACACTAGCAATACAAATCAGAGAATACTGTACACTTGGCTTTTTCCAATTAACCATATACCTTAGAGGTATTTTCATATCTAAACATAAATATCTACCTCATTTTGAAAATAGGCACCGGTTTACTAATAACAGGCATTCAGGTTGTTCTGTTTTTGCCCTTATAAGCGATAGTGCAATGATTAGCATTATACATATATTACTTTACACATGTTCAAGATATATGAAGGATATATGAAAGATAAATGAAGATGTATAGAGTTGAAATTACTAGGTCTGCACATTTGTAATTTTGATTGATAGTACCACACCTCACTCCCTGGAAGTTTTATCAATTTACAATTCACTGTCAGTAGATGAGAATGTATTATTACCATTTTTTTATTATTTTTTTTATTTTTATTTTTGGAGAGTTTTTTTTCTATAGGGCGGTGCACTCGCCAGACAAACAGGATGAGAATATATTATTACCCTTTTTTATTATTTTTTTATTTTTATTTTTGGAGAGTTTTTTTGCTATAGGGCGGTGCACTCGCCAGACAGACAGAGAGAGACATAGAGACAGAAAGCGAGAAATCCCCCCCCAGAGGGGATGGTCATGCCGCAATCCCTTCTCCTCCATTCTCCTCTCGGGATCTTGGGCATGCACGCACACGCACCCGGCATGAGTTTCAAGCCACCGGGTCCGGGACGTGAACCGCGGTTGACTACGTGGGAGTCCAGCGACATAGCCATTATGCTAACTGCTAGTTCCCTATTATTTCTCTTTTTGAACTTTGTTAATATTACAGGTAAAAATGATATGAGTTTGGTTTTGGGGGGGTTTTTTTTGAGAGTTTTTATTTATTATTTTTTATGAGAGGTTTTGGCTATAGTGTGTATGTGCTTGCCAGAAAGCCAGAGAGAGACAGAGAGATAGAAAGCGAGAAGTCACCCCCCCCGGGGGAATGGCCATGCCACAATCCCTTCTCCTCTTGGGATCTTGGGCACACATGCACACGTGCCGAGCATGAGTTTAAGCCACTGGGTCCGGGACTCAAACTGCGGTCGGCTACATGGGAGTTCAGCAACATTGCCATTATGCTAACTGCTGGTCCCAAGAGATTTTTGTTATAGGGTACGTGTGCTCCCCAGAAAGACAGAGAGAGAGAGACAGAAAGTATGAAATTACCCCTTGGGGGGATGGCCATGCCACAATTCCTTCTCCTCCATTCTCCTCTCGGGATCTTGGGCACGCACGCACGCACGCACACACGCATGCCCGGTGTGAGATTAAGCCACCAGGTCCAGGACTTGAACCACAGTCAACTACATGGGAGTCCAGTGACATAGCCATTATGCCAACTGCTGGTCCTGATATGAGTTAGTTTTAATTAACATTTCTTTTATTATGAATATGGTAGAACATTTTCTTTCCATGTAAGTAAAAACTATTGTAATTCTTTTCCTAGGAACTATCTTTCTCTATATTTTCCATTGAACTGATGGTGTTTTCTTACTAATTAGTAAGAGAGCTTAAAATATTATAAAAATAAATTATGACATAGATTGCACATTTTTTTTGAAATTTGTCCTTTGATGATTTTTTTCTTATGTAAAATTTTTATTTTATGACATCTGTATTGCTCGTATTATAAGAGTCTTCACCACTGTAATTCTTAAATTTTTCTTCTTATAGTTCTATTTTTCACCTTTAGGAATTTGATCCATCAGGAATTAATTTTGATATAAAAAGTGAAATAGGTACCTAACTTTATTTTTTATTTCGACATTCCAACATATTAACTTGAATAATCCATCTTTTCCTCACTGATTTGTGGTGAGGTTTCTATCATCTAGTTCAATTTTAACTCTGTTTCAAAGTTGTAACTATGGGGTCTGCACCTGCTAGTAATGACATTCACTGATACTGTTTAGCTCAGAGTAGGGCTCAGACACATGAGCTTATGTAAAGCTTCTTACAAGGCTTAGTCTTTAAGTTCCTAAATATATTTCTAGTGTTCTCCTATTGGCATGCAGTACTGATGTTTCTCTAGCCACATACTTAACTATTTCCCTATCCCATCTTTCCTCTATATTGTTTTGAGTCCTGACATAATACCTTTGGCATATTGCATTAATGTGCTTTTTTCTCTTTAGGACTACTTATGCTATTATGAAAAGTAAAAGTATTACCATTTTCATTTTTTTTCTTTCTTTCCATTGAAAGAATATACTACTTTTTACCCAGACATTTTTTCCATTTTTTTTTTTTTTTGGAGAGGTTTTGGCCACAGGGCGCGTGCGCTTGCCAGACAGACAGAGAGAGAGACCGAGAGACAGAAAGTGAGAAATCGCCCCCCCAGGGGGGATGGCTACACCACAATCCCTTTTCCTCCATTCTCCTCTCGGGATCTTGGGCACGCACACACACGCACCCTGCGTGAGTTTTAAGCCACCAGGTCCAGGACTCGAACCGCGGTCAACTACTTAAGAGTCCAGCAACATAGCCATTACGCTAACTGCTGGTCCCCTTTACCCAGACTTTTGACACGCTAAAAGCATTGACATTTGAAAAAACTATGGAGTTAATGATATTTATGGAATATCTCGAAGCTAAGTATGAACACTACAACTGTGTAGTACATTGAAGAATATTGCCCTGGTAGATGACACTTGTGCATCTATGACATCCCAAATACATCCAATGGTGTGGGCATTTTCCCTGGGTTTGCTGCAATGTGGTGTATATAAGTGCAACAGTAGATGGATACCTGCCTATTGAAATGCTTTTGAATAAAAAGAGCAGTCTAACAATGGATTGGTTATGACTAGTAACAGTGAAAATTTAAATTTTAAATTTTAATTAAATGTAAATAGCCACATATGACTAGTGGCTTCTATGACAAACAGGGTAGTAAGGTATTATCTGTCTGAATCAGTCTCTTTTAAATATGAGATGCTCAAGAAGCATTCAACATGACTGCTGGAAGAAGAGACAGGGACAGTGTGTGGGAGAGAGGAAGTTGAGGGGTAAGAAAGAAGGAAAGGGAGATTTTGGGCAGAATCTTGATATGTCATGATCTTCTTGTCCCAGTCTCCCAGTTAGTCAAGACCACAGGTGTGTGCCAACACACTTTGCGTGTTTAGGTTGGGCTTGGAAACAAACCCAGGCCTCTTATGTGGCCCCAGCCACCACTTGCCACTGTAGCTGGCCAACATAAACCTTAGTCACGTGAGTTTGCCAGCAAAACTGGCTTACCACTTCTAAGACTAAAGGGAATGAGAGGGAGAAAATAACTGTGGTAAGACAATG